TCCTCTATGACCCCTTTGGCACCAGGCCATGCCCCTGGTCCCATGAGGCGGTATTGGGCTGCGCAGCAAGGTCCGAAAAAGCACTTGAAGGCCAAAAGAGGGTCCCTGAAAAAGAGCCTTGTGAGGTCTGGTTTGCAGCCAATCAAATCCGCGAGTTGGTCTTTGTACGGAATGCTGGAAACCTGTAGAGTAAAGATTGAGAAAGGGGCTGTTGAGCATTTATCCTTGGAAGAAACGGATGCCTTTGTCAAGACAATTGCCTTGCTATAAAGATGAACAAAGATACTTTTTCTTGTTGTTGGATTTAAGGAGGTGTTACAGGAATCGGGAGAAGGAAACAGTTTTTCTGGTGGAAACTGCCAAATAATGGTGCTAACTAAGTTAAGCGAAGGGAGTAAAAATGATTCGATCTAGAGCAAAATGATAGTCTAAATTTTTAAAACGATCGCTAAGCGTTTGGAAGATTTCCCTTCTGGTCTTGAGAGGAAGAGATGTTAATGAAAAAAGATATATCGTTATATAAAATAACTGCTTGTTTATAATTAGTTGTCTCAGCAAAATTAAACATTTTTCTTGCCTGGATTGTGAGTCTTCTCGAGGCGTAGAAAATTTGCCTCAGCATCCTTTTTTCCAGTCCAATGTTGTGCAACATGAATTCTTTACTGGGTAACCTGGCCAGCCCCTTGAACACACGAGTCACCCAGCGAGCCTGCAACTCAGCGGCTGGAAAGAACGCGCCAGAGGACTGGATCAGACCCATGACTGCTAGGGTTGACTTGGGGTGGTGGGGTGGGAACACTTGTTTGTACAGCGAGACTTGATTGTCTTCCACTGGCAGGATGTACTTGTCTTGTAGGAATTCAAAACAGATATCATAACCTGTGCAAGCTATCACGGCGTCCAAGTTATCCAGTCTTGTGCCGTCGGTGAAAACCACGCCATTCTTGGTAAAATGAGAAACCCCCGGTTGAAGTTTAATTGTTCCGGTGGCGATACGAAGGGGAAGATCATCGCTGATCACCGTAGGGGCATTCAGGATTCCGTGGTGGGGAAGAAGCCCGTAGGTCTCGTGATCAAACCTCTTCTGAGCACTTCGCACAGCCAACCATTCTTTGATCTTGCTCGGCAGGTTTTGAAAAAATCTCGTTTCCACGTGCTGGTCCCATGGCAACCCGCGCTTTTCCAGACGAGAAATGACCCAGGCCCCTCTGTGGGTGCTGAGGTAAACCTGGGAGGCGTGGCGGCTGAGTTCAACGGCAATATCAGCTGCAGAGTTTCCAAGGCCTGCATAGAAGATAGTTGATACAGTTATTAGTTTGATGTCAAAAGAATTTTCAATTCCATTACCAAGGGGGAAATTTATTCTGGACATTTTTTCAAAATCGGACCATAATGTTGAAGCTTATCGGGGTTTCGAAAACATGAAGCGACTAGGATAATTTGTACCGCCTCCCCCCACCCAGCCCCCGACCCTGAATGGGTTGCTAGTCCATGGCAGGGTTACCCACCCCCAGCATTTAATTCGCTTGTACCCTGCATACAACTTGGTGAAGAGAGGCAACGTGGGAGCAAGCCCGCTTGCCCAAGTGAACAAGACAATGATACCAAACTTGTCTCTCCGGACTCCACGTCCCTTGCGAGACTGGACCAGTCAAAAAGATGATGGCATTATTCCCTGTAACATCGAGAGCGAATTACATCCAGAACTTAAGAATTCAGTAGACGCTTTGACAATTAGACACGGAAGACGTATAAATACAATATAAAAAAAACGAGGCCAATCTGCATACGTTTAAAAAGAAGCTACTGTTAAAAAGATAAGAGGCACTGCGCGTTTGTACAACTGCAATAGAGTTTATAATTATGTGCACACAGGTATTGAAAAGGTTTTGCTCGTAATTCAGGCATTGACTGACGCCCGCACAGTCTCTTTTTTGGGTTCAAATTAGGATGAAAAAAATGGTTCGAAACCATAAAACAGAAAGAGAAGAAGATTGAAGGGGCCTTAACTCATGTTGATGTCGTATTGTCTGTGCGACAGCGGTCGATTTAAGGTCAGTTTTTAATAGCAAGATGTCTATACTAAGCAGAAATATCGGAAAGGGATTTCAACGAAATACCTCTTACGTGAAATACACACAGCTAATATTTCACCTTGAACTTCGAGTTACAGTCCAATAAAACAAGCTGCTACGCACCAATCAGCGCTTGATTCGTTCATTTAATTAATTATTTTGGCTCTTCATATTGGTCGATATTTTGTTATTTAGAAAGTTAATGGTTTCCACTTAGCTAGCCCGTAAATTGAACTGGCACAACTGAATTATTTGGTCCAATTTGTTTTTCAGTAGATTTCGCGGAGAGCATAGTCGGTCCTCTCTGGCGGGTATTTATCGAACAGTGGGTCACTGCGTAAATCGCACAATCAAGAACAGAATAAAGAAGTTGATGTTTTGTACAAAGTCCAGTATTTAGTCGGCTATTCTAAAAATGTGATCAATCTTGCGTTAATGTGCAGTGAATTGTCCACAAAATAATAATGTGTCTTTTCTAGGATGCAGTGAAGACACTTAAGATTTGGTTAATCAGTAGTTCATTAAGGTCTGTCGCGTACAATTTAAGGTTGATAGAAAATGGGAATGTGGATGGTCTGTTGGCCCTAGAGTTGTAGGCCATTGGACCAAGTCGCGCTGACTTCTTGTCTATCCAGACTTACAGATAGGTTCCGCTAAATTGTTGATAAATCAACAATGGCAAATATGCCATGGATCAAAATATTCATCGACTTAGAGTAACAATATCCCCGTGGCTTCATGCTATGGAAAGTCAAATCGGGTACCGGTTATTTGCGGTGATCTTTTTGACTTGTGAGCAAGACATGTAGACTTGATAGCAATATAGTACGCGGCGTTCTAGTTTCGGAGTGCGTAGCCTCCTGTAAAACACAGATTGAAACATTTACTCTACGGAGGCAGTATCGGCCAACCATCGTTATGTTGGAAGCAAACTGCGGGAACTTGAAATTCATTTGAATATTAAGTGATATTTTTTTTTTTACTTAATAGCATAATTACCTTGTTTAAGAACGACAAAGCTAATTACAACGCGCATTAGGTTTGTACTTGCGGATATTAGCTCTGAGGTTTTCCTACAATTTTCGCCTAATTTGGTGTTATGCAATCAATAAAGCGGTGCTTTCATTCATTAACTGTCGTAATAGTGAAGCCAAAGGTTAAAAGCCCTTACAACACCGATGGTTACGATGTGTTAAACCAATCAGAATTCGACTGAAAGAAAAAAAAAAAACTCGCATACCCTAAGTATTTACGTCCCTGTGTGAACAGAATCTTTTTTTTTGAAAGTTTGGGAATCTATTGTAAAGTTCTGTTAACACAAAATCTAGGGAAGTGTATTTGCCTATGATGAGATTTGAAAAATTGTTCTAAATTGACTTTCCTACATGGATACGTCTAAAGTTAAAGTATACTAGGTGACACTATGCTTATAAAAACGTACCTATAACAAGAACAGCTTTGTCTTCAAATCCTCGGTAACTCTTGTAGTCATGGCTATGAATTTTCCGTCCCTCAAATCTATCAAGCCCGTTAAAGGTTGGAAAAAATGGCTTTGAAAGGTGACCGTTACAAATCATGACGGCATCAAAAATGCTCTCAATCTTCTTTCCCTCCCAGTTAACGAAGCTTACTTTCCACTGTCCAGTTTCCCTGTGGTTTGAGGTTCGGCTTATTTCCAATACTGTGGCGTTGAAGTGAATGTATTTGAGCAGGTCGAAATGCTTGGCGTACATTTGCAGATATTTCACCACGTCGCCGTGCGGCATAAATGGCGGGAAATGTTTTGGCGCGGGAAAATCTGAGAAGCACGTCATCTCTTTGCTCGTGTTGATAACGGTGGACTCGTACACCGAGCCGCTACCAGAGTACGAACCTTCCTCGTGGGAAAATTTCCACAACCCTCCAATGTTAGAGCATTTTTCAAGGCAGACAGGCTCAAGCCCTTCGTCTAAACAGCATTTGATGGAGACCAAACCGCTTACCCCGGCTCCTATAATGGCGACCTTCATCGTAAACCGTCACCTTTCGTTTGTTTTCGGGCGAATTATTACCGAAGATTACTTCGAGGGTGTCTTGCCACGGAAGGTTCACTTGAGTGTGTGCCTCTTCTTGGTTGAAATGAAACTAACAGCGCTCTTGAAAAATGTATTGTTATAATTAGCCTTCGCTTCACTGTATTGCCTTCTACGTGTTTAAGCCTTTGTGTTCGGATATTGCCCGTGACGCTGGCTTTGTGATGGAATCCGGAGACTTATGAAGCCGATATTGCCTGTCAAACTCCGCGTATTATAATACGCTTGGTTCAAAGCTTAGAAGCGATACGTGCTTGAAATAATGGAAATTCTAGAGAACTCGCCAGTTTAACCTTCCTTGAGCTTCGTGCTTTTTCTCGGTTCGTAAAACGTGTAACTATTACGAATGGAAAGAAATCTTTGCGTGACTTGCCCCCGAAAACGAAGGCCTTTTAACACCTATTAGACGCAACAATGGTTTCTTTGGTGCTAAACATTTAACGATTAAAAATTGATTACAACGTTTAAAAGCTTTCGTAACGGGTTGCGAAATTCCATTCCCGTTGCGATGTTTCTAAAATATTAAAGCTCGCATGTTTCCATTCCGAAGCAAGTCTCTATTCTTCCAGTCTTCCAAAGTTTGCCGGCTGCTTGTCCTGTGAAATGCCTTACCGAGAGGTTTTTTCCGCTGTTGTTCAAAGTGTCAATATTTCGTTTGCCCCTGTAACAAAAGTCAGTGGTTTGTAATGTATACACGAAGACACAAATGACGATTAAACTGCGCCGACTGAACAGCTAAACTGCATGTCATCAACGGCACGAAACCCGCTGTGTACAACCAATATGGAAATTCACAAATATTCTTCAGTGAGCGTTGAACAAAAACATAAACTTCTCGTTTTAATCCGCGTGATTTGCTAAAAAATGTTGTTCATTATTGTTCAGAGCTTACTAACACGGCTATCATTAGTAAAGGATTTCGATCAAATAGACGTAGTGTTACATGTTTTTCATTTTAGGTTTTAAAATTTTTCTCTAAATTTACACCGACTCTACTTGAAAAAATAGCTGCAGCAATATATTCACCTAATAGATACTTTCTACGTGTGTCTGTTTAATTTTCGCTGAGTGTAAAATAGTACTTAACTTAGTTTTCTTTACTATTGTTGTTAGCAGTTCCTGTTGCTTGAGAATGTATTTGATATGGTACCAGTTTTTCTCTACAATGATTGTTCCGAGAAACTGGATGTTGCTAATTGTTGAGAGTATAGAAAGAGTCGGCAACACGCTGACAAGAGAAAAGAAAGATGTTTGATTGTCTAAATCTTCTAATTTGGATACATGTAGCTTGACTACAAGGGGTTGTAATATTTGCAAGTCTACGGAAGTCGACCAACATACCCTAACCCTAAAAATAAATCACTCCACCACTTTTACTTAAAAGGTGAGCGTTTGTTGATCTTTTTTTAAATCATTGATTTGGCATTGGCGGTTTCCTTGGTTTTCCTTCTGGACTTAAGACTCATTTAAATTCTTAAGAATACGCGAATGTGAGTCGAGTCAAAGCGATCCGTTGGTAATCGTACTTCGCTGGTATTTGCTGTTTACCCCAGTGTGGGAAAATTCCTTGGCTGCTCCAAACAAAACTGGTAATTATGTAGCAATTTCTTAGATGACCCAACTCATACCAAAGTGCTTACGCTAGACTTTCAACGGAAGTTAGACCGGAAAGCGCCCCTTTTTGAACCAGCCTCGCCGAGCGGTCTCCAGAGACTTAGCTTTGTTAATGCATGTGGGCTTCTTGACGGTAAAGATAAGATGCGAAAGTTAAGTGGAACCGAACCTAAGTGTTGTTTTTTCAAAAGATTGTTGTCGCAGATAACTTCAAAAGAGCAACATCAGACCTGAGACAGAATTTCAAAACACTGCATTGGTTGTACACAACATTCTTGTTCCATTTGTTGAGTCTTTGTTTTGGTATTTTGGTCATTTACAATGGGTATTTTTAACTGAATAGTTCAATGCATGAAAAAGATAGTTTTGCCAAAATAAAAACTGGTTTGGTCAGATACTGATCGATTGCTTAAAAGAGTGTTTTCGAAGGTTAATATCTACAAGATTAAAATTTTTATTGATCGTCGCCGATAAATCAGTAAAAAAATGTAGTCCTTCATAGATCTTAAACTGCAACTGAACGGATTTTAATATTTAATCCACGGAATCGGCATTTCTTCAATTACGCTAGCATCCAGAATCTTTGAGACGAGCGATGAATCAAGGAACCGGCTTATTCTTGGGTGCTCATCGTATGATTGTGTAAAAAATAACTTCAAGAGCTTCATTTGCAGGTTTTGATAACCTGATATTTTACTCCTAAGTCAGCTTGAAGGCTTTTTCTCTTAAATCATTTGTTTTATCCTGTACGATGAAGCCGATTTGTGGTTTTTGTTATATTAGTGTTATATTGACCGCAAATCTGTTCAAAACGTTTAATCCTCTGATACAATATAGAGGTATTGTCTTTCCTTTTGTACTTAACGGTGCCTAAATATCCATGGAAATCTAATTTCGGCCACATTTCTTTCATTGTTAGTATAAAACGACGCAAAATTGTATTCATGGTTTATCCGGTATTTCACAAATAAATTCTTAGGCCCGATTCCTCCGCCAAGCCGGAAACTGGATAGTATTCTTAACTTTTAAAAGGCAGAAGGGTTAGAAGAGGTTTTGTGAGGTTTTTTGACATATTAACCTCACGGGATTTGCATATGTTTATGCGCTTTTTTTTCATCCTGGTGACGGCCGCACATTTTCCGTACTAATTGGCTTTCGTCACGGGCATCGTTGTGCGTCATGAGCAAAACCTTCCGGCAGCGTACGGGCATCATCGTCGGCTATCTTTGGAAGTTAGTGCTGAGACAACCTTCGGCAATCTTCGTAAGTACAAAAGAGAGCTTTCAGAATATATAATTATATTTACTTTTTCAAGCTTCGTTCACCTCTCAAGTCAACTTGACAAAGTGAGTACTGTAGCCATTTAGAAAATAGCCCAAAGAAAGTGTGCGCGATGATGCGTTTAAAATCCAAAGCATAAGAGGCTTATGCGCTAGTGGGGACGGCCGCGACGTGATCACTAGCATAAGCATAAGAATAACTCAAGGTTTGATATTATTATACTTATGCTTATGTCCGGCCGTTCCCACAAGGGCATAATCTTTTAGGCTCATACTTATGCTTGCGTCGCTCGTGATGACCGCTCTTTACCCATGCATGCATCGAGTTTTAACTCAAAATTTCTAATAAGAGTAAGCCTGTCGGCGTAAGCCTGTCTGCGTAAGCCGGTCTCTCTGGTGCCTGTCGGCTCGTGTTCTCGGCACAGCATTTCTCGTTCTCCCAAACTTCCACTCGTGTTTCTATAACTCAGTAGAAACATGGGACATGTTTTCTATTTCTTATATGTGGTGCAGTTATTGTTGATGTTCCTAAATTCCAACACGGCTTTATTTCTTCAACCTTTTACCGCTTATTTACTTCGGTGAAATGAACTCGTACTTCCAGAAAAACCTGAATTAACTATGGAGACACAAGATATCAGTTTTCTGATAACTATTGTCCCTAAGGAATTCAAGAAAAAGTTGTCGTCAAGTATTATTAGAAGCTATTAGTAATTTATGAATATTTTTACCCTAGTCATTAAATTGAGATGGAACAATACCAGCGTATTGTCTACTTATTCTGTAGGTGTGTTAACTTTGGGTAAGTATTTTCCAGCTTTGGTTTTACTAAGTGTTTAGGTATTTTGAAGTTTTTGTGTGTGTTTATCTTCCAAATTATTTTATTAAACCTGTTGATACATACAGTCTGTATGGGTGTTGTTCTATGATTTTAACTTTGTTTTTGAGATCCACATGGAAGCTTATGCGACTTGTTTTACATCAAGCTTTGCACTGAGAGCTTCTAAATAAGCTTCAGTCCAGGAGTATAACTAAGATGTTTCCAAGTTTATATGTATTTTTTCTCTCACAATGACTACCTACCTCATAGCTCCTGATGTGAATTCTTTAATAAACTGGTCAGTGGATGTGGTACATTATACACAAGCAGAGAGTCTTCATCTCCAGATTTGGGAAAAACTACCGTTCACCTTAAGTTAAAACTATTAAGTAATTGAACTGTGCAAGAAGGAGGAAATAAGTATTCAAGATACATATTTCTCATGCTCTTCAATGTTGTAATAAAGTTCATTTAAAAACCTCTGTGATTTTATTGAATTTTAATTTCTTTCAACATGCTTGCAAAGAAATGTTTTGACTGAATTTCAGCCTTGGTTACATTCTTAGCATATCCCTAAAATTCCGCCAATCTTAACTTTAATATTCTTGTTAAAAGATCCTTACAATTAGAATAAAAACAATTGTTTACCCTACTGTTTACCCTAAAGATTTTCAACTGATGATACCATACTAACCTAACCAAGTAGTTTTTTATCATTTGCTGCATAATGGTAAAATATCGAAAAATAGCCTCTAAGTACCAAACGAATTCTAATTTTATAACAAGTTACTATCTGTAAAGGTTTTTATTTAGATTTTTGCCCTTCAAATAATTGAGAACATTACGTACAGTTTCTTCAGATATCTTTTCTTCATGCTACCCGTTTGTGACATGCACTTTGTTTTACACTGTTTCAAAATGGAAATCAAAAATACTGTTCATCCTTCTTAGCATGAGCGGTTTCCACTTGAGTATCATAAAGTATCGGTTTTACATTACTACGCTACGCAATTGGCTCAAAACACTCGCGCCACTTTTTCATCCAATCAGAAGTAAAACCAGAACCAATTGTGACTCGCTCGCACACGTTTTCCCGCGCTTTGCGTCAGCTACATGTTATTACTTCAGGTTTTGATTGGCTCACTGTATTGTCTGTGTCCTTTGTGAATGGCTAGAGTGATTACTTTGGTTTTGGTTTTACGACACTCAATTAAACACTACTCTAACGTAACGCTGTGGTTAATTGAAATATTTTAGTAGCATTTTGTAAAACACCGTCACTGTCAGCCAGATGGCAATTAACAGACGCATACTTATAAAAAAACGTTTTTGTAAATTAAAAATTGTCTATACCACTTAGTAGGTAATATGGGCAAAATCACGATATATTTTTGTAGGCGAATCTTTGTTCCGTATAGTTGTCTCGCTAATATGAGCGCTAAAGTCGCTGATCAATTAAGCTACGAAAGTTTTAACCCTGGAAATTGTGTGGAGTGGGTTTTACAAAGAGCGTATGGGCTCGGTAACCCTTTTACAAGCCAGCATGCTAAGCATTTTCCCGATTTCTTAGTTTCACAAGCTCTTTAACTTTTGGAGTCAGTTCGTATATATCATGGTGCCTTCTCCTCGACAACTCGTCTACCAATTATGAAAAATGTAAAATTGCGAGAAAACGTGCACAATTGCAAGGCTTACAGTCTCAAAGCTAGTGAGTAACAACTATTCGTAGAATTCTACTAATATTCTAATGAAAATGCTGCGGTCTGATTGGCTGAGCCATCGCACACTATCAACCATTAGGGTGCAGTGGCTTGATGCGGTCAACGAAAAAGCGACGTCTTCTCGTTTCTCTGAAGTTTTTAGAGGACATTTCAGTAGAAACACATAGATAATCAAATTCCTGAGAAGACTAAACGAGGGACTTTCGCGGTTTCTTCAGCTCCAAATTGTCCAAAGAACCTAATCAGTGCGCCGACACAACTGCAAGTTTCAAATGACAATTCAGTTCGCGCGATTTTTCTAAAGCGCGAAGTTTAATGCTAAGTCGAGAAATAATTGGAAACCGATATAATCTAATTGTTAACTAAATTTCTTAGCATAATCGGCGTACAAAGCTATAAGTCTCAAGTAAATGCCTTAAGTTTTGACGTGAAAGTAGAGCATTGCTAAACGAACCATGCATGATGCCGACTCAATGCGACCGCGGGCTCATTCNAATCGGCGTACAAAGCTATAAGTCTCAAGTAAATGCCTTAAGTTTTGACGTGAAAGTAGAGCATTTCTAAACGAACCATGCATGATGCCGGCTCAATGCGACCGCGGGCTCATTCGGTCTCTGTTTCTATATGCGCAAAACTAAAACATAGTTAAACGCTAGATTTTTCAAAGAAAAATATGTTTGATAAACTAATACCTTGTTAGTGTTAAAGGGACACTGTTACGATATATTTGCTCAAAAAACTATTATAGATTCACGGAATGGTCCCTAAATTTATGTAATAAGAACTAATTAGCTCTAACTAAATGATTAAAACCAATTTCTTGGAAAGATTTCACACTACAGCAACATTTTTTGCAAAATTTCAACGACTTTCGAGCTAAACTTGAACCTTTGAACAACTGACATTCTGACGCTTTTTCAAAAATCCATATCACAATCCGTTTCCATCCTCGCCATCGTTAGCCATCCTCACTTCCTAATGGGCTCTAATCATTTGTCGAGTACTGCTCTACAAAATGAAACCATTATTGTTCAGCTTCCAAAGATCGATATATGTTTTTGAGATTTACAAAATCATGATAAAAATGATGACAATATCCCTTTAAATGCGTTTTGCTCCTGTACTCATTTTCCTTTTGAATTTTCACTTGCCCAGTTTCCTCA